TATAAATTATCCAACTCCTTAGACAAAGAATTGGAATTAGCCCAAAGTTGATGTTTAAGATCTCCTTTTAACTTTTTGAGAATCCAGCAAAAATGCGATAGAGGATTGCCAGAGATCGGGAGAGAGCAAGCATTCAACAATAAGCTCCAATAGCTTTCATTGTTAGTCCAGAAGTTCTTATATTGAAAACGGTGGTTAGATTTAATGCTAGAGCCAGGATGAAGGATGATAGGAGAGTAGTCAGAACAGGCCGGAGATTGAAAGGAGCTGTAGGAAGCTGGAAAACACTTAATCCAAGTCTCATTAACAAGAGCTCTATCAAGCTTAATAAAGATAGGATTCACTGTTTGCTGATTATACCAAGAGTAATGACTCCCCACCGCATTAAGATCAACCAAATGGTTAGCAAAGATCATGTTGTTAATATCAACTAAGTGAGAGTGATGAAGCGGCAAACCTCCCATTTTGTCAGAAGCATAGTGACAACAGTTAAAGTCCCCAATAACTGCCCACGGGGTGTCATTAGAGGGAGCAACAGCAGTGATAGAAGCCCAGAGATCTTTCCTTTCAATCGCTGTATTTGCAGCATAAACAATAGATAACTAAAATGAAGTAAGGTTACCAACCTTAACAATACCATTGATGAGTTGTGGTGTGATGAGATTGGGAATGAAACAGAGCTTACTCGCATTCCACTTAATCCAAATTCTACCAGAAGAAGAAGAATCAAAATTGTGAACACTGGCTTCGTTAGAGAAGAGCAGATGAGAAGATTCAAAAAACGGATCCGAGAGGGAGGAAAGGTGGATGCGGTTTTCCAAAATACAAAGCATATCTAGCTTAAAAGACTGAATTAAACGCTTACAGCAAAAAACTTTGTCAGGGCGGTTAAAACCCCTGACATTCCACACTCCAAATAGTGGAAGAGACATCAAGAATTTTGATGGGTTTGGGATTTTTTATTCTGCTTTCCCTTAGCAGATTTCTTTGGATTGTCAGTGATAGCCTGTTTTTTCCCCTTACCAGTCAATTTTAAATCCTTATCCTGGACATCAACATCTTTATCTTCTTTACTCATGGAATCCAAATCCGTAAGAATATCAAATTTATTAGGAGAATTGATACTGGTAGAAGGCTTAAGGGCAGAAGCCATAAGGGAGGAGGAGGAAGAGGAGAGCTCTTCCGCAACTACATTCAAATTCGGGATGGAAGTGTTAACATCACCAGACATATTCCCAATGGGTTCATAAACCACCACAGAAGGTTTGATGATATGAGAATCTCCTTGGATAGCCGAGGACGGCAAAGTGACTGGTGGCTTATCAGACGGCGGAGGGGAATGGCGTTGGTAGTGAACAGGTTGCCCAATGCTATTCGAGTGCAAAGGAATAGTAATACCCAAATTAACAATTTCTTTTTCTTTGGAGATGATCACAGCCGAATTCGCTTTGGGAGGTCTGGAACGAGATATGTTCCTGCTAGATGGTTTTTTACTGAAACTTCTACCTCTAACAAAAGGCTTAGAGGTAGAAGGCTCCGTGATCTTCGGATTTGGATTTTTAGGGCATGCAGCGGAATCATGAACCAAAGACTGACAATGTTCACAAGGAGAAGGTCTCCATTCATATTGAACTCTAAGTTCAGAAATATCACCATCTAGGGAAACTTTAATAACTTCAGGATAAGAGGCCTTACTGTCCACAAGAACGCAAACACGAGCATAAGTAAGCCTAGATTTTTGCGTCGTCAGTTGATCAGCAGCAACAGGAATACCGACCTTGCTAGCAATCTGCGAGATCCCCTCCGAATTCCAGCAAGCCAAAGGCAAGTCATGGATCTTGATCCAAATAGGCACTTCAGCGAAGTCTTCTCTTTTCGGCTTAAATTTGGGGTGCCATTTTTGGAGGACAAATGGCTTACCAAGCAGAAACCACACTCCCTTTGACCAAGCCATCTCAAAATCTTCAGAGCAAGAGAAACGAAGAAGGAAGAAACCATCACTCAGAGAGAGAAGCTTGAGTGAACCTTTCAAAGACCAGGTCTTGTTGATAGCTCCCAAAAGAGCTTCATAAAAAGGTCTCCGACCAATGGAGTAACCAACAAGGCAGAGGCTCCAGTCCTCACTGCCAGAGGCAAGTTTCTCACAAGAGAAAGGAATAACTTCAGGCTCATGCGGATGATGAGAAAAACTGAAGCTCTTGGACGAAGGAGAGCTTTGAGCTGGAGAAAAAATGTTACACCAGTCCTTCAAAGAGGAAGGAACCTTGGTAACAGGAGAAGAAGTGGAAAGTGGGGGAAAATTAGAGCCATGCAAAGCAGACTCCATGAGGAGAAGAACCTCCGGCAAGGCCGGAGGGGACGGAGCGGAAGAAGGTCGGCAACAGAGCAGGAAGAGGAAAAACCCTAGGGTTCTGCTCACCGTAAGTTCCCTAAGTAAACCTACTTTACAAAGAAAAATCCGGACTCTTCTAATTACTATTTTGTGAAATCCTTAAAGAATGAAGTTAAATTTTTAATCATGGATGTGATTTTTAATGTAAAGATTAAAATTTTATTAGAAAATCTAAAATTAAGGCTTCTTTTTTTACGGCTTTTTTATTGCTTCTTTAAAGCAATTTTTTTAGTAAAAAATAAAAACTTTTATTCTAAAAAGTTGTTTTAAAAAACAAACAGAAAGTTGTTTCAGTTTGGGACAGCTTTCTTACTGTTTCGTAAAACAACTTTTTAATACAAAAGTTAAAATTTTTGTACTAAAAAACTATTTTAAGAAGCAATAAGAAAGCCGTTCCAAACGAAGCCTAAATGAGTGACTTCTTGAAAATTTATTCTGAGAAGAAAAATCATAAAGGCGTTAGATTAAAGCGGATAATATATCGTTGGTTATGAGTTTAAATTGTTACAAATGATATCATAGAAATAGACCGACAAACAATAAGAACTAAGTATCATACATAACAGTGATATACTATCTTGAACCTTAGATAAAACATAGTTTTATATGACATGAGCTATCTCTTTAACTTATATGAGTTACCTATAGAGATCTATTTGCTTGTCAATGATTTTGGGATAAGGATACTGTTGAGGACATTAGCTACTTAAGCGGAGGAGATTATGAAAATTGCTATTGCTAAGTCGAATGAAGTTAAACTCTTTAACAATGAGACGTCTTTTGGTGCAACGGTTGAAACTTAAACTCTAAAATTAAGGCTTCGTTTGGTACGACTTTTCTATTGCTTTCCAAAACGGAGTTTTAATACAAGCAATGAAAAAGCCGTCCCAAACGAAGCCTAAGTATGCTTGTATAAAACATTCTGGGAAGTCACACCAACATAACAAAACCGTGAAATCATTGGCCAAAGTAAAAAATATATGGACGATTCAGAGTTTGGGTTGTGCAACATTTTAGTTTGAGTTTAAAATAATTTTTTAGTTCAAAAAATTTATTAAATTAATTTTTTTTATACTAAGAAGTTGTTTTAGAAAATAGTAATAAAGTGGTAGCAAACAAAAGCTTAATATGCTAGCACTAACAAAAGAGATAAAATGACAAAAAAGAGAAAATTTAATAAATTACAGTTATTATATGTTTCATGCAATATTTTATGTCAAATAGGATATGGTGCAAGCTGTCATTGTCGCGTTACTCTTTTAAATTAAATTCCATTTGTCAGTATTAGCCATGCAAAATATTCCAAATAAAGAGGGGTTACAAAATTTTAGTATTTTATTTGATGACTGTGTAAATTTTTGAATGACTATGCAAAATTTTGAATCATTTTTTTATGTATTTTGAACTTTCATAGGTCAAATTCTTTTCTCACCCCAAGTTTATTGTATTGTCGCCGCTTGTCATGGTCTTTCAATCAATGCCAATTATTCATTGAATTGTCATTGCCACCAACTTTTGCCAGACGTAGATGCTGTCGCTGACTACTACTTGTCGAAACCTCCTGCTTCCCTCACCTCCGTCCTTCCACCACTACCGCCAACACTATCATTATCGGCTTATCGCCTAATGCTACTCATCGTTTAACATTGTCGAATACTCGATAGTAACTTTTGAGCCTAGATCACGAGTTGCTTTGAATATAGGATGATATGCTTAATTGGACATTAGATCGAGTATGCTTTGATGCACTATTCTAAGGTGGTTTCATTATGAATCAAGGTATCATAAAATTGATGAAACATTTTTAATGAATTTATCAATTTAATATCATGATGAGTTATCACATTAATAATGAACTATTTATCTAATAGAAAATAGAAAATTAATTTCATATTTTGATGCTTCAATCCTTTAATATAATTATGTTGGAAATTAATTTCATATTTTGATGCTTATCTAATAGAAAATAAAAAAATAAAAAAATATTTATTTTTTTCATTATATTAAATAAATATTATAGTGAAACTTAGGACCAAATTAAATATATTTGAAAAATAAAATCAACTCTAATAAGTTAAATTAATTCAAATTACTCAAACAAATAAAAAATGGATAGATATCAAATAAATTTGTGTTATCGATTTCAAATTATATCCAAAGTATAATAAATTAATTTTATAATTTATTCACATAAATAAATTATCTTTTCTTTTGAATCTTGAGATAGTATATTAAATATAAAAACTATATAGAACATAGTCAATAAATTTGTATTTTCTGCTAATATTAGCCACAAGTTTAAATTGTTGGATGTATCATATTTATAGCCACAATATTTGTCATAAATCCTAATGGCAAATCCAAGCATATAATAAATTCAAAATTGAGGGCAATGAGATATTTATAAAACTCTTTGGAATATATATAGTGCATAATTATTTTTTCATTTTTTATTTGAACCATTTTGTGTATTCTAAAAAATAATTATCACCATCGGCCGATTGTGACCATTGCGATCAGCACTAGTGTCTAGGGTGTCAAAACGGGTCAACGGGTTGGGTTTGGGTCAAACCCGAATTGACATGGGTCCAAACAGGATGATCCTAACCAGATCCAATTTTGAAAATGGGTCAGAAATTCCAACCTGGAGTAGACCTGGATGGGTTACTAAGTTGACCCGACCCAAATCGTGAACTCGGATGTGAGGGCCTGATGTAGGCTTGGGCTGAGTCTGGATGAGACTCACAATGGCACGACGCAGGAGGGTTGGGAGGCTAAGTCGGGATGCAATATAAGAGAGGGCAGTGTAGTTGTGCAGGCTAGTGGGCTATAGGGTCGACCGGTTAGTCAAACGAGTTAGGTCAAATGGTTGTGTCTAGACGGGCTACAGACGAGGCCAACGTCGACGCGGGAGGGCTACGCGGGCAGGGGCAACAAGAGAGGCTGAGGCGGGACCTGACCCAACATGAAACAGGTGCGGTACGAGAAGCCGGGTTGGACTCAGGATCGACTACTGTGTGCATATCAATGTCTTGCGGGTCACACCCGGGTTAATTTCAGATTTTTGGGTCAACTAGAATCTGACCCAATTTATAAACTATTTTGAAAATAAAACACGAATATGACCCATCATGCAAACGGCTTGTCCAGATTTAGAAAATTTTCAGGGTTTCGGATCTGATCAATATATGACACCCCTACTGGTGTCATCCAATCACCGACCATCATCACTACCCCATCAACAACCATTACCATCTTTGCATGAATCAAGCTATTCAATATTTAATAGAAAAGTAATAATTTTTTTAGATATCTATGAATAATTTAAACTTGTGCTTATAAATAGTATAAACTTTATAAAATATTATTGATATCTAATGATTATAATTAATAACTAGAAAATATAAATCTATAGACTACATTCATAATTTATTGATAATAATCACATATAATTATCAATAAATCATTTGGATTCTGATTGAATACATTTTAGTGTTATCAAATTCTTTTCATCCAGATGCTCAATTTGACTATAAATTTGCTCAAATCAGAATCAGTATTGTCACAAATTTAATTTAAAAATTTTTTAATTCAAATATGCATCAAAATTTGTGTCTGATCAAAATTGATTTTTATTGACATATCAATTATGATCATTAAATATAAGAAAATTTCTTTTAAATAATCCCTTTAATTTTCTTATATTCTAATATGAGACCATTCGCTTTCATCAAATGAAGCAGCTCTATTCAGCACCCACGTTGTATTTCTAGAAATAAAACGTGTTTCCTTCTATTTTGTTGTTTTGTGCGCATCAGCTTCGGCGGATCCGCCCAATATAATAATAATGATAACAACAAATGATTTTTTTGGGGTGGCATTTAAGTAATTAAAATTAATTCATACATATATCAGATAAATAAAATTTAGGCTTTATTTGAGACATTTTTTATACCACTTCTTAAAATGACTTTCTAGTAGGGCTGCAAACTAACCGAGCCGAGCCGAGTATGTGAGTGTTCATGTTTGTGTTCATATAATATCAGCTTGTTCAAGTTTGGTTCATGTTTGTTCGAGCTTTATTGTTTGTGTTCATGTTTGGTCGAGCTTGTTCACGAACATCAAATGATGTTGTTCGCGAACATAAATGAGCCGAACGCATTAGTGTTCAAGTTTGTTTATTTAAGAATCAAGTATTTAAAATATTGTTCAAGCTTGTTTGTTTAGTTAATTAAACGATCACAAACGAGCTTTAATCGAACCGAACAACGAGTAGCTCGTCGAACGTTTGGTTCGCTTGCAGCCCTACTTTCTAGTATAAAGTTTTATAATTCAATAAATTTTTGTACAAAAAAAATATTTTAAAAATCAACAAAAAAAACTATCCCAAAGCAATTTGGAATGACTTTTTTATTGCTTCTTTAAGCCGCTTTTAAATATAAAAATTTTAATTTTTGTTCTTAAAGCAACTTTTTAGTATGAAAATTTTAATTTTTTACTAGAAAATTGCTTTATGAAGCAGAAAGCAGTTCCAAACGAAATCTTAAATTTAAGATATCTTAGTTGATAGTTAAAATTTTCAATCAACATAGCAAGATGAGTTGTTGATAACACATATCTTTTATTAAAAATTTTGATCTCTATGGCTATTATAGTAAGTTATTTAATTACCTAAAATGTTAAAATATACAAAGTGATTAATTATCTTTTAATTAGTGCATAAATATATGATATGGAATATGATTAAGCTATTAATCCTTAAACAATTGTGCTCATGCTCTCTTTTGAAGAATGTTAAGTGTCAAAATATAAATTTAATAATATAAGAATATGTTTGGGACGGTTATATTTTTTTATAAAGTATGTTGTGAAATCGCTACGGGCAAATCATTGTGGTCGTTATGTTGAGAATAGATTTTTTTCATCATAAAAGT